CTCCTTAAATGAATTAAAATATTAAACAGTATAACCGCGCGGCGCTACTCTTTAATTATATTCGAATTTAAAAGGTATAGCCGGCCGGCTATACGCATGAAATATATTAAAATATTAAACAGTATACCGCGCGGCTATACGCTTTAAATATATTATGTTTTAATTATTATTTAGTTATTGAAGAATTAGTATTTAAATACTTTAATTAATTTCATAAATTACTTAATAAATAGTAATTAATTATATTTAATTATCTTAAATAATTTTGTGAAATTTAAAATTATTTTAATATTCTAAAAATAGAGTTTAGCCTCCAAACCCTAAATCCCTAGTCTCTAACCAAAAAGCATAGCTTTCCAACTTATCCGATCTTGTTCCAAAACCGTTCGCAAGCCTTGAACCCTAACCGTAAACCTATCGTAGGGCACTTAGGACTTGATTAGGCTTGGATAACCACGTAACTCGACCTAGGGCTTTATGATTTAGGTTTCGTTCCCAATTGGTTTTCTTAACACCACTTATCTTCTGGAAATTAGAAAATTCGAAATCAAATTGATCTAAGACAAGTTTATATGAAGATAAGATATAAGTGTCTTCATCCGCAAGTTTATTTGAGCATTGCCTGATCCAAAAGCTGCTGGGACATCTTTGCAGATAACGGAAGAAGACGCTGTAAAATTGACAACCGTCATTCCCACTCTTCACTTAGATTATGATCTAGTTCAGTTATAGTTGAAGGAAAGAAAGACAGTGATATAATATATCAAGTAGTTTCCCCGTGAAAGATACAACTAATTTGTTTCCCTCTTCACGTGTTAGATCAGTTTGCTCTGAAGCACATGTGTAATGTGATAAATAATTCTCTAGCATCAGACACATGAATGATAAATAATTTGTTTTCCATGCATTTTTCAAAGACAACATGCAACAGATTTTCCCGAGGAAACATGTTAGACGTGTAATTGCAAGTTGAACTGATCAAGCATAAACACGAGAAAATGCAACTTGATGAAGACTTTCTGTCATCGACAGACTCCAAACCAAATGGTTCTGTAGATCTTTCAAATGGTCAAATGCAACTTGATGAAGAGTTCCTCTTTCCATCACATGTGCAGGAAAAGCACCGAGTCAATGTTTTTGCCTTTTTCATGTGAGGGCAATGATTCATTGCTAAAACTAGCATAGAAAAATAAAATACCCAGCAAACCCCTTAACACAAATAAAGGCAAGGTGAAAACTGCCATGGGAATTGAAAATGTTCAGAGATCAAAAGACATCATTTCTATCCAGAGAAATTTATTTATATTTTCGACCCGCCCAGGCCGATTATCTAGAAAAACAATAATGCGTTGGAATTTTATAACCATACCGATACTCAGTCTCCTCCACTCCATAATCAAGGTGAAGAAAACAAACACGCGAAACCACTCCATCCACATCACCATCCTTGATGCACCCTTTCATATACAAGCGAACCAAGAACCTTCATATCCTCCTTTGAACACCGTTATCGCTAAACCCAAAGAATCACTTGTATTTAAATATAAAAATAGAAAATTAGTTTAATATTTGTAATTATAGTAATATATTTTCCTTATTTTATTACTTTAATAGGTAATTATGTTTTTGTTTTTATTTATTTAGTGAAGAATTAGTATTTAAATATTTTAATTAATTTCATAAATTACTTAATAAATAGTATTTAATTATCTTAAATAATGTTGTGGAATTAATTATTATTATTATTTTTAAATCCTAGAAAATTATTTTAGTATTCTAAAAATGGATTTTAGCCTCCAAACCCTAAATCCAAGTTCCGAACCAAAAATTATAATTTTCGAACTTATCTGAACTTATTCCAAAACCGTTTGCAAGCCTCAAACTCTAATCGTAAACCCCATATTTTAGAAGCCACTTTGTTTCCAAAACTTGTTCTATCTAAGTGGATAGCTATGCTAACGTTAAAAAAATAAAAAGAAATCGTATTAGGATTTGCATGTGCAAATATTAAGTTTTAGAGCCTTATGGTCGGGACACGTTTGAGATAAGGGGAATAACAACCTCACTGTTGTACTTGTAGCAACTTAAGCATCTAATTCCCTTTTATAAGCATTATTCTGGGGGCCCAATAATTTGAAAACCCATTAAACACAGGCCCACATATCTGCGAAACTACCAGCACATCACTGAGTTTTGTGTCAAATCTCATCATCCCGCATCCCACAATTTCCTTTCATCTATTGCTTGTCGCATCTTTCAAGTTTAAAGATACATAAATTATTGAGGTTTCTTATCATCAGTTGACAACGCACACGGTGATAGTGAGCCGTTGATACACATAAGTCTTACAATGCATGGCATATATAACTTACATTCATCTACACTCACGTTCATGAGTAACTGTAAACCGTTAATATATACATGTCTCGTAATGCATCAACGGCTTACAACCATTTACTAAGCTCCCAGAAACAACCAATATACACAGGCCCACATATCTGCAAAAACAGCAGCACATCACTGAGTTTTGTGTCAAATCTCATCATCCCACAATTTCCCTTCTTCATCTATTGCTTGTCGCATCTTTCAAGTTTAAAGATACATAAATTTTGGAGGTTTCTTATCATCAGTTGTCCACGCACATGGTGATAGTGAGCTGTTGATACACACAAGTCTTACAACGCATATATAACTTACATTCATCTACACTCACGTTCATCAGTAACTGTAAACCGGTAATATATGCATATCTCGTAATGCATCAACGGCTTACAATCATCTACTAAGCTCAAAAGTTCATCCAATCTACCCAACCTAAAAGCTGCTTTATTTGTTCACTCACCCCAAATGTTTTTGGCAGTTCCAATAACCCATCATGAAAAGTGAAAGCTATATAAACGTCGTGAGGCATTTTGCTTGTTATTGTTTTCTATATCCTTTTCACTCAACCAAAATGATCGGTGGGGAAGAAACAAATGGAAATTGGAAACAGAGGGTGTGAAAACAAATCAAGCAGCGCCCCTGGTTTGGTTGATTTATTACTAAACCTATATATAGTACTACTATTTATTAATTGCAGTTCGTTGGATTGGATTGGATATAACCATTTGATGATGTCAAAGTTTAATAAATTTTTATTATTGCATTTTGACATGCTGCTGCTTGTCGTTTTTCAATTTATATTTCCAGTTATTAACTGTGGCTATAATTAGTGTATTGTTTATAGGGCCTTCTAGAGAGGTTGACATAATAGTAAACCTATTGCTGCTGCTGACTGCTGAGGATTTTGGCTTTTGGTGATTCATGGAAATGAATAGGTTAAAGGAAATTTTAAAAAATTTCATTGCACATAACATATCCATTTTGGATTGTGGGATTTCAAATTCATTTTAGTTAATGTTAAGGTTCTTAATAAGGAAAAATTTCCCGAATTCAAATCTCCCTTCCGATCCTTTGATAAATATAGTTGTGTGAGGGAGAATAATGTGAAGGAATATAATGATTCCAATTGATTCATTGAACTTAGTCTTTTCAAGTCATGATGAAATTAAATCCAACTCTCTAAAATACATTTTATTGCTTTTATGGTTAACTTCTTTCAACCAATATAAAGTCTTTGTTTTTTATTTTATAAAAAGCAATCGAATCTTATTAGATCAATAGAAAAAGATATGCATATTGTAAAGGGAGTCATCCCAATAGCAATATGGTAGATATGGCTAAAAACTTCCTCAGTAACCTAAGCGAACAGTAAAACTAAAATGATCTTAGAGAGAATCACTCTCAAAAACAATTTTTCTATAACTCATTTCTACCATCATAATTTTCTACAAATAGTCTAATGACATCAAGAACAAAACTAACCACTAACTGACATGACTCTTCGAAAGAGACTAAAACAACCAGCAAACTCAATTAAGTTTATGGAATTATGAGAAACCCATAGAGTTTATGGACCAATAAATACCAAGACTACAAATCTAAAACATTGCCGACAAAAGGAAGAACAAATGCCTCTAATCTTCCTCCGGAACATGACATAGAGAGCGCCAAATAATTACTCCATGGCCCCCAACGCCTAACGCGCCAATTAACAAAATATATATTAGAATCAAATCAACACATCAAAGAGTAGCCCCACAATATGAGGCACATTCAAAACCAACCCATATTCAATGCAGAGACGATAGATTTGTCAAAGGAAGACCATATCGACATAGATCCACCAAAATTCAAAGAACACCGGATATGAAGCCTAAACCGTAAACCTGAAATTGGATTTGAATTGGAATTGGAATTTATAAAGTCATCGTTAAAATCCAAATTTGGTGCAAATCAACCTCAAAACGTCTTGAATATAGTTATCCAACCTTGTCCAAGCCCTAAAGAATAGTAAATCTATGTCATCATAAGTTAACTTTATAACACACTTCTCTTCTAACTTAATAAGCTTTTTTCTTTTTCTTTTTTTTCTTATAGAGCCATTTGGATATTCATGTTGACATTATGGTGACATCAAGCCCCAAAAACTCCCAAGAGTCTCTCTGCCTAGAAAAAGTTGATAAAGACACCTTTTACGACTGTTTTTAGCATGCAAATACCAAAAGTACAAACGACGACCGACTATGAAAACCAACGTTTCTTCTTCTTCTTTCTTCGTCTTTCTTTTTATTCTTATTTTTTATACAGAAAATGAATGCCAAAGTAGCTATGGGTCATTTGTCATCCCAAGGGAGCATAAATTTCACTTCAAGGCTTCTTCTAGCTGCTCTGTATCTTTTATACCTACCACCCTTACCAACCAAACCTTCAATTTTTTTAATTTCCTCTGCAATTACTCTGTTTCAATCCATTAACCCCATAATAACAATAACACCAAATAATAAATAACAAAAATATTTATAAATAAAAATAAAAATTATCATTAATATTTCCATTCATTGTCATCATCACTATGACAACCTGGAGAAGAAGAAGAAACAGAAAATGCCATCATCATCTGATCTCAAAACCAAAATATCATTAAGAGACTTTGGGCTCTGCAAAACTCAGGTCCTCTCATAAAACTCAGGCACCCAAAGCAAAACAAACCCAGAAAGATCAAACCAGTACCAGAAGAAAAAAAACACATAAATGTTGTTAATAATCAAAATAAGATCAAGATCCGTTGCCAAGTCCCTTCTAAAATATCAAACCATTTTAACGGGGATCATAGATATAAATTAAATTAGAAACCAGTCATCGTTGACTTCAAATTTTTCTTTGCTTGCCCTACCAAAATTTCCAGTAAGTCTCTGTTTTTATTTTTTTTGGCCTTAAGTTCTAAAATTTGCTACCTTTCAATCTTCGAACCCAACTTTTTTCCAAATCGCATTTCTCACTCGCCTCAAGTCTCTGCCTTTCAAGGTCCTCCCAATCCCTTCATGAACAGAAAACGAAGCCCCTCTCGTCCTCGCCAAGTACTCGTGAGGCGGGACCCTCCCATCTCCGCCATCATCATCATCATCGCCACCGTCAAAATCTTCTTCTCCGCCGTCTTCATCGCTGTCCCTCTGCCTCTGGTCTTTGTACGCCTCTTTCAGAATATTGGACCAGTCCGGAATGTTCACCGGCAACGACGCTGACGTCACCTTGGCACTACTTTTCTGATCAGCCATGCTCATCAGCATCGTCGACTTCCTCCCCATTTTCTTCAGCTCTCTGTAACTGGGTATGGCGCTTTTCTTCTGCTCTGCAACTGGGTTTGACGAGCTCCATATATCGGCCTCGTCGAACTCGAAGAGCCCGTCTGAGCCAATTGGGTTGTCGCCGATCGATGAGGTGGGGAAGATGGAGTTGGGTTTTGAATGGAAGATGGTCTTCCTCGACGCCATCGATGAATGAAGAACCGAGTTTTAAAGCTCTGGCTCTGTTTCTGCCCTGTTTTCAGTTTGGACTATTTTTCTTTGCTTCTTTTTTGGTAAGAAAATTTTATGACCAAAAACGTTGATTGCTCTGCGTTTTATAATGGCGAGTGTAATGGATAAGCTCCGTATTTCGCTCTTCGTACAAAGTTACATTTGTCATACTAAACGACAAAAATGGTAAATGCTACACTGTGGGCCTCCTCATATGTTTGGTATGGAGACGAGATGCTACATCATGTTCATGCCCTAATTGCTTCTTTTACTTTCTTTCTTTACCTTTTTTATGCCACAAGATGATTAGTGATGCACATCAAAATAGATGATAACGATTAAGTCATACGTAAGCAAATTAATAATAAAAAAAGACCGTCATAGTACATAAGTTGTTTATGTTCGTGTGAGTGATTATTAATTCTAGATATGTCGACATACAAATCAGTAATCTTTTCAAACTATTGAACTCAAAATCTGAGAATATTTATATGTAACGTATATTTTCTCAAATTCAATTCCAATCGATGTAGTAAATGATACGACAAAATCTTAGTTGTGAAACTAACAATAACCAAATAAAACAATGTAACAATAATTGGTATCCAAATGTTAGGATTTTTTCCATAATATAGGACCTTATCCACAATTTAAAAGCTCAATCTAGTTGGAGTGCTCAACCATATTTTAAGTTTTCATTTTAATAATATATTTATTAAGTTCTTATCCTACATGGAGCCATTTTTTTTTTTAACAGTTTAGAACATGTTAGGTTATTTATCAAACAAAATGCTAAACAACACCTTCTAATAGTATTATGATGTTTTCCCCTTATTAAAAAATTCCTTAATTACAACTGAATGACACGTAGGACAATATGTGTCAACTTAATTATAGGTTAATTACAGATTAGGCAGCCAACAAAGTGACATGTCATTCTAGACATTAATTATCTGTGTGCATAATTTCCACACAAAAAAAATCGATAGAGCAAGATGAGATATGGACGAATTTATCCACACGCAAGTAAACGACACGTGGACCAACCAGCGTTTCGTTTTCAACGACTCGAAATTCATTGGGACTTATGATTGAACCAGTGAGCCCATGACACGCTCGGGTTTCCGTATAGTCTTTAACCACGCTGTAGGTCAAGGGCGCGGGCCCCACAGCCCATTCGACGTCTATAAAGAGATCAGAATGGCCAAATCGTGCCACGTCACTTACGCAATTTCTTTCATTTTTGGGGTAAAAAAAAAATATGTCTTTTGTCGCGACGCGGGAAGCTGCCACCTGTTGAAGGAGAGGGCCAATCTGCTGTGACTGTGAGCTCTGTAATCAAAATGATCAGCCTGGCATTTCCGTGATTGACAGCTATGAGAGCCGTTGAGATTTTTGGGATGCATGAACTTTATTTTTTGGGTAATTTAATATGCACTATAAACATTTTTTAATTATTATATTAAATTTCAAAGAAGAAGTTTGTAGTAATAGAGAAAATTTAAGCGAAGTATTATTTCACGAATGTGTAAGTTCAAATCTTATGAGCGATAATTATTTTGTGATTTTTCGTTGATTAAGCATTTTTTAAAGTCGGATCAATCAATCATTGATCTGTGCAGATTGGAATGATACAAGAAAATCAACATTTCTGACAGTGTTTTCTTAATCTTTAGTGTTACTTGGTGGTGACAACAATCAATGAATTGCCATCATTCTCCGTAGTTGGTAGTTCTTGCGTGTTTGTTTATATTTCTTGCACACACAGATTTAATAGTTAGTACATAAAAAACTGAGTTGGATATCTTTGTAATAACGAACATAGATTGATGATCTTTCTAGTTGTCATATAGCGGTAGGGAGCATATAAACCACTTCAGATAAAAACACGAAATTTGGAAGCATGAGCATTTTTTCCACAATGTGATGATGGGGGGGAGTAAGATAATAAGACACAAGTGCCTCTGGCCATGAGTTTGAAACTTGTTGGAAACTGATGCCTCTCAAGAAAATTGATCGATCATGACATGGATGATGTTTTGTATATATGAAAATGCGAAAAGCACTGGTCTCTTCCCAACAACTTCACCCCTCGTTTAATGCAATCTAGTAAAGTCACCATCTTCTAGTAAATATCTTATCGTCAAATACTAATTAGTTTGATTTTCTTTTTCAAAGATGCGGCGTATGTTGCACGGACACGGAAACGCAACATGGCAACACAGTAACACAATGACTTGAAGGTTGAAGTTGATGAATTGCATAGGCTCCTCAAACAATCAAACCGACCTATAAACGTACTAAAGAAGAAAAATAGAGACTTTGTTGAACCGGTAGAAGTTTTACAGACATGAGTTTGAGATGAAGAGAAAATGTCTCCCTTTTGAAAGTCTGTACTTAATGAATTTTAGTTCTATGTTTTCCCTTTTAATTTTAAACAACACAAATTAATATGAAGGAACAAAGAAAAAAAAACATATTTTTACAAAAATATTGTTTACATGTTTTGCCCACTTTTAAAAAATATTTCAAATATGTCAACATAGGTTTCAATAATTATGTTTTGACCCCCAATTTTGTTTTATAATTTTCAAAATGTTCATTGTCGTGTCTTGACTTCTGTTTACATGCGATATATTATATTCTTGCGCGACGAGAAATTTTTTAACGATCGTTATGAGGATAAGGTCTTAAGGTAAACTAGGGATAACAGTTTGTTAATTTGGTTTGTTTAGGGAAGTCATGTTGGGATCCCAAGGAATATGGTGATAGAAATATTGGATTAAGTCCAATAATCGTAGCGTTTGAGAGCTTTTTAAATTACCATATCTTTTGAGAAGAGATTTGGTCTATGGACTGATTGTTGTGCTGGTGATCAATAATATAAATACACCGTGGCAGGATCAAGAGTTTTCTTTGTATTGAATATGTTTGCTTTGGCCAAATAATGAAGCTCACAACAATAATAAAATATTATGATTTGTTTTGAGAATAACGAGCCATTTATTTGAATGAAAAGTAAGTTTTAGAAAAGCAAATCACACTAGTTTACGTCATTGCATGTAGAGTTGGAAATGTGCGGTGGAAAGCGCATGTTGCATGCGTGAAGTCTTTCTCACGTGAATCACGACTTCTGTAACTGTCGTTGTTGGTGAAGTGTAGCATCTATCTAGCATGTAAAGAAGGGTTCACTAAACTCCTTACTTTACCCAAAACAACTTTATCCTT